CATTTGGTACATCTATGAACCATGCATTCATTATTACTTGTATCACAGACTAATTTTGACATTAAATCTTTATATGTAACATACCATTGGACAGCATTTACAAGCAATATTGAGTTTTGATAGGAAATACAAACACATACACAGTGTGTACCGTTTGGTCCCACAGTAATACACCATTTTGGAACTTAACTACAAAACTTTGAAAATCCTATTTTATAATTTTATTTACTTTTAAAATCAATATAAAGCTCATGAAGGTTGCACAACAATGTTTTTTGTTGAGGAGGAGCACTTTTAACCTTAACACAATCTTTTTTACTCGGCATAATTCTAGAATGATGATAATAAGGTAAGTAATAATAAAGAAGGTAAGTAATAGTAATAAGGTAAGTATAGTAAATATATAGTAAATAAGGTAAGTAATAGTAAAGAAGGAGATAAGTAGTAATATTAGGTAAATAACATTTATATAAGATAAATAATGAAGATGTAAATTGTAATAAGAGGTAAATAATGGATAAATATAGGATAAGTAATGCTATATTATTTAATAACTAGCAGTAAGCAACCCGTAATACGCGTTGTTAGTAAATAAAATTTAAAAAAAAAACGCGTTTAGTCTAGAAACTACTTTGAAATAGAAAAGCCTAGAAAATGACATAACTCGACTAATAATAATATTAAATTAGCGTATTCATATTATCAGATAATGATAAATATTTAATTATAATAATAATAACAATGATAACTGCTAATAATAATCAAAAAGTCAATAATAAAAATAAATCCTGGAAAATACTTAAATTTACAAATAATATTTAAAGCAAAAAATAATCAGAACAAATGTAAAAAACTCTTGATCTTTTTCATTAACTTGATTCTTTCTTTACTTTCTCTTAGTTTATTAATTTTGTAATGTATCTTGTTCTTTAATTATATTTATTTGAGTCTATGAAGTTCTTACACATCTCTAAACTTTAAGTACTTTGTTTTCTAATTAATTTTCCGATATATTTTTTATTTACTTTTTAGTCTTTTTTTTTAGTCTTTTTCTTTTTCTATAAATATTTTTTCCTCTTAACGGGTGGTTACTAAAAATCCGGACAAACTTTAACTGAATTTTAAATGCCACAAGCTAAATCTTTTTTATTCATGTTTATATCCATTTTATAGCTTATTTAATTCTCTATAAGTTAATTTTTTTTTTTAGATAATTAATAATAATTAAAAAAATAATAATGACCAAGCAAGAAGAGGTAAGAAAACGGATTTACGAGTTCTATTTGAATAATAAATTGCAAGGTAAAAAGTTCACAGTAGCTCACTTCAATGCTGAAAAAATCCCAAGAAGCACTATCTATGATATAATCAAACGTGTTGAGAATGATTCTGGGCACAAAAGAGTGCAAGGAAGTGGTCGTGTGGCCAAAATCATGACCCCTAAGAGGATCAAGTGCCTGAAAGCCATATTTGATCACAGTGACCAAGTTTCGATGAGGCAAGCTGGTCAAAATTGAGATGCAGTCATTCACATATCATTAAAACTCTTGCCAAGTACACTGACATCAAAAGTTATACAAAACAGGGTATACCTCATCGACAAGAAAACCAGAATGAGCGAATCAAAACTGGCATTGATCGTCTTTATCGCGTTTTTAAAGGAAAATCGGTCATCCTTGATGATGAGTCTTACTTCACGCTGTCACACTCAACAATTAATGGAAACAGCACCTACTACTCTAGCAACAGAGACAAGACTCCACCAAGTGTTAAATATCGCAAAAAGCGCAAGTTCGAACCCAAGGTGCTTGTCTGGCTGGCCGCTTCTGACAAAGGTGTTTCAAAACCATTTTTTATACCCAGCGGCCTTGCAGTCAATAAAGCCATCTATGAAATGAATTGTATTAGGAAAAGATTAGTGCCGTTCATCAACGCTTATCATGCCGATGGTAATTACATATTTTGGCCGGACCTGGCTTCATCGCATTATGCCAAAACCTTGACCAGCTGCTACGAGACTCATAACATCAATTTTATCAAAAAAGTTGACAATCTGCCAGCCGTACTGGAGTGTCGCCCAATCGAAGACTTTTTGGCTATTTTGAAAGGCAAAGTGTATGAGAGTAACTGGCAAGCAAAAGAGGTGAAACAACTACGAACCAGAATAAAGCTTTGCCTGAAAAAAATTGACGTTAACCTTGTATTTTCACTTTTTGGGTCAACTCGTGTTAGAGTTGGCTGAATCCGAAGAAACAGACTGGTTGAAGACAAAACTCTTTTTAATGATAATTTTATTTAATCTCTACCATAAAAACTTTGGGAGTAATTGCACTTGAAAGTTTGTCCGGATTTTTAGTAACCACCCGTTAATTGCTGTCATGTAAAGATATAATACTTTATTTGATAAACTTTTTCTTATTTACAATTCTATCTATAACTCCGCCATCTTTACCACGCGTGCATATGATTTTGAAAAGTCCAAATCCACAAGATTCCATTT